CAGACTGACACCATACACAGCCCCCACCCCATTCTACCTTGTCCCAGACTGGCACCCATTACACAGCCCCTACCCTGCTGCTCTACCTTGTCCCAGACTGGACACCTACACACAGCCCCCACCCCATTCTACCTTTTGTCCCAGACTGGCACCCTACACAGCCTCTACCCCCACTGCTACCGTTGTCCCAGACTGGCACCCTACACAGCCCCTACCCCATCGCTCTACCTTGTCCCAGACTGGCACCCTACACAGCCCCACCCCTCCTCTCTTACCTTGTCCCAGACTGGCACCCAACACAGCCTCCCTACCCCACTCTCATTACCTTTGTCCCAGACTGGCACCCTACACACTCCCTACCCACTTCTTGCATTGTTGTCCCAGACTGGCACCATACACAGCCCCCTACCTCCTTGCACTTCTATTTTGTCCCAGACTGGCACCCTACACAGCCTCCCTACCCCACTCTTACCTTTGTCCCAGACTGGCACCCAACAGTAGCCTCTACTCCTACTTCTACTACTCTTGTCCTAGACCTGGCACCCAACACAGCTCCCTACCCCACTCTCTACCTTGTCCCAGACTGGCACCCTACACAGCCCCTACCCCATTCTACTCTTGTCCTGTAGACTGGCACCTAACACAGCCCCTACCCCTTATTCTACCTGTCCCACTGGCACCCACACCCCCACTCCACACACTTCAACATTGGCACCCTACATCCCACTCTCTAACCTTGTCCCAGACTGGCACCTCTCACACAGTCTACCTGTCCCAGACTGACCCTACCCCACTCTACCTTGTCCCAGACTGGCACCCAACACAGCCCCTACCCCTACCTTGTCCCCTACCCCAGTCTACTCCCGACTAGCTTGTCCCAGACTGGCACCCTACACAGCCTCCCTGGCACCCACTTCCCATCTCTACCTTTTTGTCCCAGACTGGCACCCAACACAGCCCCTACCCCACTTCTACCTTGTCCCAGACTGGCACCCAACACAGCCCCCTACTCCTACTTCTACCTTTTGTCCCAGACTGGCACCTCCTACACAGCCCCTACTCCCACTCTACCTTTGTCCCAGACTGGCACCCTACACAGCCCCTACCCCCCTCTCACCTTTGTCCCAGACTGGCACCCTACACAGCTCCCTACCCCACTTTCTACCTTTGTCCCAGACTGGCACCCATACACAGCCCCCTACCCCACTCTACTTTTGTCCTAGATTGGCACCTACACACAGCCCCTACCCTACTTATTTACTTTTGTCCCAGACTGGCACCATACACAGCCTCCCTACCCCACTCTACTCTTGTCCCAGACTGGCACCCTACACAGCCCCCTACCCCACTTCCTACCTTTTGTCCCAGACTGGCACCATACACAGCCCCCTGCTCCCATTCTACCTTGTCCCAGACTGGCACCCTACACAGCAGCCTCTACCTTGTCCCTTTTGTCCCAGACTGGCACCATACACAGCCCCTACCCCATTTCTACCTTGTCCCAGACTGGCACCCAGCACACAGCCCCCTCTCCCCACTTCACCTTTGTCCCAGACTCTACCTAGCCCCTACTCCCACTTCCTCTTACCTTTGTCCCAGACTGGCACCCTACACAGCCCCTACCCCCTACTCTGTCCCAGACTGGCACCCTACACAGCTCCTACCCCACGCTCAAACCTTGTCCCAGACTGGCACCCTACACAGCCCCTACCCCTCATTGCACTCCTACCTTTGTCCCAGACTGGCACCCTACACAGCCCCTACTCTGTACTCTACCTTTGTCCCAGACTGGCACCCTACATAGCCCCTACCTCTGCACTTCACCTGTCCCAGACTAGTACCCCACACAGCCCTGCACTCCACTCTGACACCCACACACCTCTTGTCCCAGACTGCACCCCCACAGCCCCTACCCCTATCTTCTACCTTTGTCCCAGACTGGCACCCATACACAGCCCCTACCCTGCTTCTCTACCTTGTCCCAGACTGACACCATACACAGCTCCCCACCCACCTCTACCTTGTCCCAGACTGGCACCCACGCTACCTTGTCACAGCCCCTACCCCACGCTACTACTTTGTCCCAGACTGGCACCCTACACAGCCCCTACCCCACTCTACCTTGTCCCAGACTGGCACCATACACAGCCCCTACCCCACTCTACCTTGTCCCAGACTGGCACCCAACACAGCCCCTACCCCACTCTACCTTGTCCCAGACTGGCACCCTACACAGCCCCTACCCCACTCTACCTTGTCCCAGACTGGCACCCTACACAGCCCCTACCCCACGCTACCTTGTCCCAGACTGACACCCTACACAGCCCCTACCCATTTCTACCTTTGTCCCAGACTGGCACCCTACACAGTCCCTACCCTACCTCTCTTACCTTTTGTCCCAGACTGGCACCCCACACAGCCCCCTACCCCACTCTACCTTGTCCCAGACTGGCACCCTACACAGCCCCTACCCCACTCTACCTTGTCCCAGACTGGCACCCTACACAGCCCCTACCCCTGCTCTACCTTGTCCCAGACTGGCACCCTACACAGCCCCTACCCCCTTACCTTGTCCCAGACTGTCCGTTGTGACTGGCACCCTACACAGCCCCTACCCCACTCTACCTTGTCCCAGACTGGCACCCTACACACAGCCCCTACCCCACGCTACCTTGTCCCAGACTGGCACCCTACACAGCCCCTACCCCACGCTACCTTGTCCCAGACTGGCACCCTACACAGCCCCTACCCCACGCTACCTTGTCCCAGACTGGCACCCTACACAGCCCCTACCCTGCACTCTACCTTGTCCCAGACTGGCACCCTACACAGCCCCTACCCTGCTCTACCTTGTCCCAGACTGGCACCCTACACAGCCCCTACCCCACGCTCTACCTTGTCCCAGACTGGCACCCTACACAGCCCCTACCCCACTCTACCTTGTCCCAGACTGGCACCCAACACAGCCCCCTACCCCACTCTACCTTGTCCCAGACTGGCACCATACACAGCCCCTACCCTGCTCTACCTTGTCCCAGACTGGCACCCTACACAGCCCCTACCCCACTCTACCTTGTCCAAGACTGGCACCATACACAGCCCCTACCCTGCTCTACCTTGTCAAAAACTTCCCTTTGACGATAATGTAAATAATCACTTTCCTTGTTACTGCTTCTGACTCGTAGTTTACCTGTAATCCATCAAAACTACTCAACGTATGATTTGTGTATGTTTGCATTTACTTTCAGTCTCATAACTAAGGTTGGTCCTTATAGGATATAAATCAAAGGACCCCTAGTCTCCAGCATTCTACATTTGTGTCATGACAAGGACACCCTTACTTTAACGCTAAATCACAATCCCTGTAATCACACACTTCCATTCTTGTGATTGCTGACTTTGTATGCAGGCAATTAGGTGCCGCACTCTGACTGACAGTGTGGGTTCAAATCATGGATCGGCTCAACCCCAAAATATACTAGAACCTGTTCTTTCCTGAGAAAGTGTAATTCCCAATATAACATGTATCACACTGGGTGTTACATTTGACCACTAAATGTAATTTTCTAGCAGGGCACTGTTTGCACATGAATCATGAAGTCCAAAGGGTAGGGAGGAAATGCTCCTCAGGGAATTTTGTTTTCGTTATAACCTGAGTATACACAATGTACTAATGGTTATAACAACAGATTTCAAAAGTGCCAACTCAATCATTATTATCATACAGAAGTCACACAAGTATAAAAATCTCTATTCCACAGAAACAGCTGAAACAGGCCTACATATCAGAATTTTCTGTGAATGTGCAAGCTTCAAATAGTCAATTTATCAGGCCTCCAAAGTAATCATGCATCAATTTACAGAGATACCCCAAACCAGAGACCATATACCAATTGGTATATGGTCTCTGCCTAAACCAAGAAGTTGGTATTTACAGTTTGTTCAATAAAAACTGGGTCTAGGATATTCTTGGCCGGCAGCCTAGACACTGCATATTATATCACTGGACAATCTAGCCTATTTCAACCAGGAACTTGACGGGGACATACTGTAAACTGAGATCAAAACCACGAGAACTAGTACTAACATGATCGGAAACTTCCTGCTGCCAAGCTATTCCCACGTACTATGAGCTGTACATGGTAGAAGGGGCACGGGACAGGGACTATCCTGACAGTCAGGCAACTACACATATAAAGTATCTAAACATTAAACCGTTTGCTTGGTTCCACAGGGGCGTGTCATGCTTAGAAACAGTGTTAGAAATTATAGGTATATAGGACCCTATCCTAGTACTATATAAAAAGTACTAGGGTAGGGTCTATATACCTATATGTCTTTCTAACGCTGTTTCTAAGCGTGACACGCCCCTGTGCTTGGTTCTACAGTCTGTCAACTACAGAGTACCTGAACATAATACACCATCTGTACAGTCACCAGAAAGTGAAACATGTCTAACTTGCTACAAATGTTTGATGTTTAATATATTGTGCACATGTCAGTCTAATAGGTCATCAATTCACTGAAATCATAGAAAGGGATCAACACAAAGTAACAAAAAGCTGTTTAAAAAATAATTTACTAAAAGTATATCAAGTTTCAAAAAGTAATAATACCAGCATCTATTGATAGAATAGATGTGTCAAAATTACACACAGAGGCAAGGCTTCAATGTCAGTAATTAAATCAACACATACAGACTTAAACACTTACACCGGAGGTATATGTTGGAGTATTGAGTCAATCTTGGAGAAATTATAAACATTGTCTATCACTATCACAGTGTACATGTAGACTCGAGTTTAAAATCGCTGCAGGTTTTAAAAACACAAACAAAGAAAATAACATAATCAATCTTTCGTAAATAGGATATCGATCGCATTTCCTCATCCTGACTGAATATAGCAGATGTAAACAAAAACCAGTTAGACAACAAGAAGCAGACATGTCAGTTTTACGATTGTAGCAAGATGTTGCACATATAAGCCGTCCGTACTTACGTGAAATTAGGATTCACATAGTGAGGATAGTGAATATCGTAATACCCTGTCAAACACAGTGGCCATGTGTACCTGTCACGTGCATTCTTATGACTAAAATTACACCAAGCCTTCAGTCACGGGGCGGATTCCCACAACAAAGTCATATGGTAAGTCATGTGACTTGTCACGTGATACCGTGCTAACGTCAACAAAGCCTATCTGTCAAGCAGACGTCTGTCATGTAATTCTCGTCTACCGAGATAATCAAATGATATGCGCTGATATCGTAAATACATTTGTAGGCTAAGGTATTTACTTGAAACGGAACAAATAAAGGGATAGAATAATGTTTTCAGCAGCTTTAGTCCTGAGAGTTTCTAAATAAGTTCAAACACGTTCCATGGCAAGAAATATGGCTCTGTTCACCCAGCTTGACCAGTACGCGCTAGGATAAGATGGCTGTGTTACTGCAAACTTTCCAGTTTTCTCGAATGCAGCTTGAATTTGTATACACTCAAATTTCAGTCCCCGCTTCCAAGTTAGTATGTACTCACTTGGAAGCGGGGACTGAAATTCGAGTGTATACAAATTCATTGACAGACCCAATACAAATGGACCAGTTTTTATTATGTTCGGGGAAATTGGAAACATGCAGAGAGAAGAATATATCTTGTAAACATGTACAAACAATATTGTCTGTCAGTATATATACACATGGCTACATGAAGATGAAAGTGTCCACATGGTCTGCTTCCACACCAAACAATTTAATAATGTTACCAAACGTGATTGGCTGAATGAGTTTAGTTTTACGCCGCTTTTAGCAATATTCCAGCAATATCACGGCGGGGACACCAGAAATGGGCTTCACACACTGTATCCATGTGAGGAATCAAACCCGGGCTTCGGCGTGACGAGCCAACGCTTTAACCACTAGGCTACCCCACCGCCCTGATCACAGAGGAGCTGGAGCTGGGAATTCCCAAACACATGACTCTACTTAAAATGCTATTGCTGTTGCCCTTCTTAAAGGATTCTTTTTTCTACTCCCTCCTCGGGTTGAAAAATCGCCATGTATTGTATTCTTTTCATCATACCACACCCCCACCCCCCACCCCCCGCCCGACCAGATGTAAATGCCAGTGATAGACAATATTATCTATGTGTAGGCTATGCATGAACAATCTTTGACACTACAAGTAGTCCAATTTTAAAAATGAAATTGACAAGGTTCGTTTTGTCATATTTGTCATGTAATTTTCCATGATATGAATGTAAGAACGCTTGCACATATCACTAACGACGTTATTTAATTTACCCGTTGTCATGGTTAGCCTATTGCTATACAATATTAAGTTGGTTAGATGTACCCTGAACTACTTTATTAGGAAAATTGATGTATACAAAACAATCTGTCCAGATGGTGTGTTTTCGCCTGAGCGGCTATTGGCTGTACATGCACTCTCACCAGAACTATACTTGAATGTACATGCCAGAATCGTTTGTAGCCTTTGTAAGCATGATTTTACTGAAAACGAGTCCAATTTTACTATTTACTTTTTCACAGACTGAAAATATAGCAAGGAAGTACATGTATTCAGAGCTCATACAAAACTTAATCTCACAAGGTATATTCCCAGCGAAGCATTAAGCTGCACAGATAGTTACAACTATATGTACATGGGATATGTGCCAAGACTCTCCAACTCGTATCAGCACAGTAAACTGTCACCTCCATAGGCCTGCATTACGACTAAAATAGAATCAGTTTATCTGGTAATAATATCTATACCCGAAACGCAGCTAAGAATTAAGCCTATACTAATCACGCACTCATTACAAAGGCAAGTCGGGTAATTGGACACGGGAAATACCACCTTTAGAGTTTCAGGATTATATTGTGATTACTGGAAGGAAAGGCAATGTCCAAAAGGGTCATGTCCCATTTGTCATACGCCCATTAGTCCTTCTCCCACTAGTCATACAGCAAATGAGGGAGTAATTAAAACAGCAACAGGCATATACCCTTTGCGCAAAATGGACTAGCCCGCTAATTAGAGAGCTTGAGGTTAGTTGAATCTCTAACACCAGAGACCATATAATATATATATATATAATATATTATATGGTCTCTGCTAACACTGAGAATGCCTGTCTTTGGTAACGAAAACATATAAACGAATGTTATTAAAGTAAATTACACTGAAGTTATATGAACATAATACACCACAACCGTTGATAATCAAAACATTTGAATGAATGTTAAACTCTACTGAGTCTGATTGAGTTTACTCAATCTCGTAAAAAAACATAAACTAGTGCATAAAAGTTCCATGCTATAGACTCTAGCATATCACTCTTGTTATCATGGCAGGACTGATTGAAGTGGAATACGTTACCTCTAGACGAGGTACACAGCTGGTACTGTTTCAAGGTCACCTTCACAACAAGAATTCTACAAAGGACCACTGTATCCACTGGAGGTGTGTTGTGAAGACATGCCGGGGCAGAGTTACAACTGTTGGAAACCATGTCAGGAACTCCACTCCTCACAACCATGGCCCACAAGAACCTGACATGGTCAGATTCATCAGCAACATCAGTAAGAGAGCCAGAGAAGAGATTACCCCAATGCCAACCCTGTATACGTTGGGCCTCGAGCGAACAACAATCTTGAAGGCTTCCACTACCACCTGAACATGACTCTGCCACACCATCATCCAAACATCTATCGCTTTGTTGAGCTGATCAAGCAGATTGAGAAGTCTGAATCTGCCAAGATGCGCCAAATCGACTTCGGTGCTGCCATCCAGGGAGGAAAGCGAGTGCATCGCGAGAAGGAAAACAGTCTCGTCCGATTGTAGGACCAACTTGAAACAGGTGAGAAAAAGTCTGTTCAAATTCTGGTTGCTGTTGGCTACCTCTACCCCAAATGGCCATTAATTGCGAAACTGTGAATTTAAGTTATTTAAGTAATTTAAGTAAAGAATAATGTGTTAATGATACCGTTTAAGTGTACAGATTATGTATGTGTACTATGCTGAAGACAGATTATTAAAGTTCACTGATGTGAAGCTGTATTTTTGTTTCTTGGATCATTCCACTTTATATTTACAAAGGTAGTTGTTGATGCAGTCAACCATACCATATGTTGTTTTAACCCGTATGACTAGTGGGACGTATGACTAATGGGAGGACACCTCCAAAAGTACTGACAAGCACCTAGATAAAGAAATTGACAAAATGATGACACAACACAATTTCTTACGCCTACACGTTTCAACTATATATCCACGAAGACGGCCGTTACAGACCTAACCCCGCTCCCAATATAAAAAACAACCAAAAATAAGAAAGAAAAAAGATCAAAACAAAACACGCACACGCCTATATATATATATAGAGAGAGAGAGGGGGACAGACAGACGGACGGACAGAGAGAGAGTTAAGTAGCAGATTTCGACGTTACCTTTATCCAGCAAGTGGATTTAGGGACACACAGAACTAAGACAACGTACCAGTCTTCCATGTGGGCTCGAAATAAGCCAAGGGTCGATCTTCGCAGTGAGTAGAAGCCTGCAGCCTTCAGCGATAGCTTTGTCTTGTGATTGGTGACGCATGACACACCTACATGTGGCACACCTACTGGAGTTATCACAGGTGGATAACACACGTTATCTCCCCAGTAGATATCTCCAGAGCATCAGAGGTCCTGAGACAGCATGATCTGTCATCATTACAGACAAAAACACTGCACCTGTATATGTATAGTCTCTGTGACAGTCAGTACACTACACTATGCGTCAGCAACTTCACCGCACTCCCCTCTCCCCAACCCACGACTCGCCCCATGGCCATAGATATACCCCGCTGCCCATGGAGGCATGTATATGATGCCACTTGTTCGTCTAACACTAGTGAACGCTCGAGACATTAGTTGACAAATGGCACACACATAAATTATTTTTATACGTCATTTATACGTCAATGGTTGCCGACGGTCATTATAGCAGAATCTGAGCATTTGGTGCATATGTTGTAATTAGATTCATTCGTTCATGGTGCAGTTCAACACAACGTGTATATGTACATAAAAGTATGTTGTATATAACATGGCCATGTATGTCGGACCCCGAACCTCAAACGTATACAACGTATGATTACCTCTGTACTTGCGCCATAAAACATAAAGCCTATCGAGTATACTTTATGCTTTCACGTACAATTACCACATTGGCGTACCTTGGCAGCAGCTTTCCTTCCGAAGTGGCGCTGAAAATACAGATGGTTATGCAAGTACATGTCGGATAACCTGAGGTAAGGTGACGTGAAATTGGGTTTAACGTCGTGCTTGAGAATATTTCGCTCATATGACGACGTGCATGCGTGTGTATGTGTATGTGCGGCTGCTTGTACTAGCCCAAACTTAAGCTGGTTTTATAGTGCTAGCCCACTGAGATACCATGCCGCAGTGAAGCATGAATACCCCACTCAGACACATTATACTGACTCCGAGCCGACCAGTCCTTGTTGTACCCATTAATGCCAAACGCCAGGCAGGGACCAACAAGTACCATATTTTAACTCTTTTGGTATGACGCGGTTGGGGATCGAACCCGCGACCTTCCGCTCTCCGGGCAGACGCTCTAACCACTACACCACGGAGGCGGTCCGGCTAACCCGAAGGACAGGTGAATTATAACTGTGTTTTCACATGGTCAGCGTGTCCCTTTGTCCGATGCGGATATTGTGACTGCTAACTTTCTGGGCCAGTGAACACAATTGTGCGGTTGAAAGGATTGACACGACAGCTTAACTACAGAACAGAACATGTATTACTTCCTGGCCACTATCCGTGGCATATGAAGTTCAATGTACACTATCATTAAACAATACATACCGTACATGGTGGTAGGACATTTAGTTGTATTTGTGTACATACTAACTGAATATTGTGTAAAGTGTAAAAGAACTTATTTGCTTATCTTGAGGACTTGTAGCTTTCCATTAGAAGAGAGCCACGTTTACTTAACTTTCTTAATACAGATTTGTTTTTAATTTTAAATAGAGTATAAAATTGAACATAAAAATATCTTGACAATAGTTGGTTTGTTTCTACATTTGCAGAAGTCCTCAAATACGAAAATGCATGGT